AAGATTCAGAAGTCAGAATCCAGCCAATTAACATCAAGGCACCTCGGTTAAATAGAGTCATACCTATAGCTCTGTGATCAGGAAACCTCATGTTCTCTGCTGGTTGAAGGACCCTAGCTCTGACTCAGCAGGGGACGTGATGAATCTCAGGTGAGGGACCACTGCTTACACTCATGGGTCCTTCTCCCAATCGTTTTTTGTGGTCTAACACTCTGCTTTTTATTTCAGGCTACTGGCCCTTTAAACAACTTTAGAGGACCCAGGACGTTTAGGAGGGAAAAGCTCTCCCCGTGGACTTCTGGAACTTTCTGCAGCATCCTAGATAAGTATGGTTCTGAGGGAAGTCAGCGCCATTTGTCCAGATTGCAGCTCAGCAAGCCCCTTCCCTCCCTCCCTAGTCGCTGCGTTTTACTTGCTTTGTCACCTCAGGGGGGGACTATACATTTAAGTGATTGATTTTGCTTGAGTTGTAATGACTGGGCAAGTGGTTGGTTTTAAAGGTTTTACTAATTTATTCGTACCACTAAAATGCCGCAGCCATTGTTATGCCAATATCTGGTGGTATGTGTCTTTATTTATTTATTTATTATGATGTTATGTTTACCATTTAAATGTCACCTGCAGTCCCATGGTGTTGTCGTGTTGAAGAAGTGTTTCATTTCTGTTGTTCTTGTGTTTATTCTTACAGACTTTCTTGAAAAAGGAACAATAATAAACTCTGAACGTTATATTGAAACTCTTACTGCATTAAAAATAAAGAATCAAACGAAATGGAATATTAAAGGAAACACTTCTTCAACATGACAGCACCAGGCCTCACACAAGTGCAGCAACAAGAGATGCAATTTAACACCTGGACTTTTCAGTGCTGCTGCATCCACCGCATAGCCATGACCTGGCTCCTAGTGATTACCACCTGTTCCCAAAACTAAATGGACACTTGAAGGGCCAGCATTTTATCTGTGATGAAGAGGTGAAGTCTGCAGTGAGGAAATGGTTTCCAAAATAAAACACTTTGAGGGGAATTTATCAAAACGGGAGCAGACAAAACCTGGAGCAGCCGTGCCCAGCGACCAATCAGCTTCTCTCTTTTATTTTTCAAATCTTAACTGAACAAACTGAAGAGAGAAGCTGATTGGTTACTGTGCACAGCTGCTCCAGATTTTGACTGCTCCAGTTTTGATAAATTCCCCTCAGTTTTTTGGGGTTTTTTTAAGGACGGGTTTCAAAAACTAGTGCAGCGTTGTTGGATGTGCTTTGAAAATAAATGATGCAGGTATATATACTTTTCTGGTTTTATTAAAATATCTTTTCCCTTTCATTCTCTATTTAAGTGGAGGCAACATTTGTCAGCCACCTCCCGTGCACAGGGACCATAGGGAACAAAAGTTGCCACCCTCCAGAAGGAAGGACAGTGTCAGCACCAATTCAGAGATAATCTATAAAGGTGGCCATACACTGTACAACCATCGCAAGACCTTAGTCTTGCGATGGTTGTAAAGTGATTACAACCATTGCGGTCATCGGGCTTCCGATGACCGCAATGCTGAACGGGCAGTGTGCGCGTGCGCACACCGGCCCGTTCGGCATTTGTCTCCCGAGCACCGTTCAAACCAGCCGAAAATCGTACGATTTACGGCTGGTTTTCTAGCTTGCTCCTTAGACAAAAGACGTGCGACCGTACGTCTTCGTTCACACTGCTCGATTCTCGTACGATCGCGGGATTTCCCGCGATTCTCGTACGAGAATCGAGCAGTGTATGGGCACCTTTACAGTGATGCACAAATTGTTGGAACTGCAACAGCATATACTGATTGTATTACTGACTGCAATATGTCTTTTGAGCTGTAGATGGCACTATAGTGCAATGTTAGTCTCTCTATATGCATGCTTATCTATGATACACAGGAAGTTTTCCTATATATGTTTCCTGCATAATGCTGTATTCTGATATAATGTACTTATATGCAAGAAACATTTAATTCAGCATTCCTTAAGATCTCAGTGCTTCATCTAAACACATAACCAACATAAATGACATACATTTTTATTAACAGTTAAGGTACTTGAATACATTTGTAAGATTTAACTCCTGAGTTTAGGATCACTTAAAGAGAATCTGATGCAAAACCTGTCATAGGTCTCTTTCACATGGACATCCCAATCAGATCTTCCTGTCACTTTGACAGATGGATCCGATCTGAAACTCTATTTTAGTCTATGAGCAGGCGGGTATCAATGGACTTGCGTCTGTTTGATTTTACATTTGATTACATTTGATTACCCCCAAATCCTTTCTATTTTTCAGACCTAAACATGATGGATTGGAGGTAAAAGGATGTAAACAGACTCAGATTCATTTACATCAGCTTGCCCATAGACTAACATGGGTCAGTTAAGCTCAGTTTTTCCTCCATCACAAGATGGAGGCAAACAACTGAACGGACGCGGGTGTCACAAGAGTGACATGGGTCCCATTCTGCTCCAGTTCAGCAGGGGATCTGTTCACAGAGTTTTTGAGCGCTCTAGGGGAAAAAAGGTAACAGAGAACAAGGAAGAAGTTGGCCACTGATGATGTCAAAATGGTGGCACAAGATTATAGGAGGAGGAGGATAAGAAACGTATTAGGATGTGGCAACAAAGTAACAAAGGTGGCAAGTAATTATAATTAGATGCGTTTATTTTGCAATAGTTGCTACAGTAATGGTAGCAGTGTGGAATGATGGTGGAATGTCTGCTTTAAAGAGACCCTGTTGTCAGACCATTAATTTCAGCACAAATCTACAAATTAGAAGTGCATTTAAAGTATTGTGTGCGATTTACCTGTAAATGTCTCCTTGTGTAGACATCCAGAAGCCTTGAGCCTGGGTGCTGCCATCTTGGACCTGATGCTATCAGCCCCAGCAGACTCAGAGCTGTCTTCCCTTTTGCTGTTACATAAAAGGGTATATAGAAGTAGGTACAGGTAAAGGAAAGAGCTGAGGAGCTGGGCCACCATGGACAATAATTACACACTCACAGAAGAGGAGAGGGCTATGACTTGTAAGGAGGGAGGGGGAACTGTGGAACTCCTGGAGTGGTTGAATTCCCTAGCAAGTTCGAAAGCACATTGCAAGTGAGTAAAATCTGATGTATGGAAAGGAAAAATGCTGCCAAGAAGTAAACATTTAAAATACTTGATTTTTCTGTGCTTTCAACTGCATTTTTGTGTGTGACAAGTTCTCTTAAAAAGGAACTTTACCCATATCTTTGAAATGACAACACACACACTGTCACAATATCCGGAAATCCGTGCCGTATTTTTGCATTGCTCCCTGGTTCTGGGCTGTCGGCCTATGGTGTCTCTCAAGGCTGCAGCCAATCTGCTCTCCTCCTCCACTTGTTGCTCTTAGTGTAAGCAACAAGTCTTATGCCTTGTTCCGTACCTCTAATGATCCCTGTGCTTACGATTGGATCCTTGTGCCTTTGGCTTGCCTGTACCAGCTGGTATCCCTGTTTGGCGTTATCCCCTGCTTTGCTCCTTGCGCCCCTACTATAGTATTTCAGTGGTTACCTTTAGTATATTGCTGCAGACCTTAATTGCTTTCACCTGTGTGCTGTGAGTCTCTCTATGCTGCCTTCATTGCCTCACTTCTACTGTGTTTTCCCTCTCCAGCCTTTGTGTGTTTTGCTTCCTCCTATTTACTTGCTTTCTTGTACTTCAGTTCCGTCACTTACCTTCCAGTGTATCGTCCTATATGCTTTGCTGTCACCCCTTTTACTTCTGTGCTTCTCTCTTACCTTGTGGCTGTGTTGGATTCGTCCTTGTCTGCACACCCCCTGTGTGCATACATCCCTTTGTGCTTCTTCATGTACTTTTCTCTCTGCTATCCTTTGTATGCATGTGCAATGCACATTTCCTGATTACTTTTGTAAATTACACCTTCCTGCTCCTAGGTGTGCCTCTAAGCTACTTACCCTTCCCGAGTGTCCTTGTTTAGCTACCCTCTTCAGTATATTCTGCTGTGCGTTTTGCACCTTTTGCTTGTGACTGTCTCCTCTTTCTCTCATTGTGTGCCACTGTTCCTATCTTCCTCCTCTTGGTTACAAGTTTCTTCCCTACCTGTTGTTTGTATCCAGTTCTTCGACTAGTCCTTTTTCGTCTGTGTGGGTGCGCTAGAGGGCCGCAACCTGGAAGGTGTCCAGCAGCCAATCATCCTCACCACTAGAGGCTCTGTCAAATACTTGGCCCTTCTTAGATTCTGCGCACAGACCATTAGTTCCTCTCTCCCTGTGACCAACATCCCAGAAATCCCTCCTGTCTGTGACTCCTACCAACTCCTCAAACCCCGGAGCTCGCATACCCTAGTGCCCCGGTCCCCAGACCGTGACACACACCTTTAGAAATGTTTAGTAATGACAATCTACAAACACATACTTTTTAGATAATCGCTGGCTTTATTTTTTGCATACCTTGTTTTTCTTTTCCTCCTCAGTCTTCTCACAGTGGCCATTTTTTTTTTTTTTTTACTAAGGGCAGGTTACTAGATCTCCCTTTACTTCCTGGGGCTCTGGCACATGTGACTAGGACGTGTGACCATGCACATTATCCCGGGGGGGCTTTTTCTGAGATCTCATGAGATTACAGATGAGATTTCCTAGTAATTTACTGCTGATGTAACCTTCCCTGGATGCAATGCTTGGGCATATATTAAATCACTAATGACCAAGTGAACCAGGAAGTGGAAAAACAATAATTGCAAGTAAAAGAAAAATATGTTTTTATATAACTAATGAATGCAAGATTATTTCAGAGCTGTGTGCTGATGTGGTTTTTAGTGAAAGGGGGTAAAGGTCTTCTTTAAACATAATCTCACTTCTCACTGTGCCTCATAGCAGGAACAATCCTGGCGGTCCATAAAATAGATGATAAATATATAACATTCACATCCACATTGTAAGATAGCAGTAAAATATTTACAAGGTGTCATTATACATAGATAAGGCTCTCTTGTACTCACCATCTCCCAAGCTGTCGTCATTGCCGTCACAGTCTTGCAGCTTGCAGTTCACCCATTGTCCACCATTTTCCTGCAAATGACAGCTGCACATTCTCATCATTGCTCCAAATTTTTTTTTAAACCACATGTTTCAGTTATAATGACAGATAATGCAATTATTTCTATGTATGACACATTTTAAAGCAGAAATCCAGCCTTGTCTTGTACAGGCTACTCTCCTGTATAGAAATTGCACTGCACAACGTGAGCTTCTTACAGTGTGTATTAGAACCTACAGCAAATTGGATGGAGCCCGTCCCTTTCATTCATTGGATTTCAGTTCTTTCAATCATGGAGGCTCAGCATCATATGCGGGTGTTAAGCTGGCCACAGACCTTGTAAGGTAATTAAAAACACGTACGATCTGGTAATCTTGGACAGGCAGCTCGTACTTGCGATCGTTGCAAGCCCGCCCCTCAGAGGGGCGGGCTTCCGATAACCGCAATGCTGAATGGGCAGTGTGTGACTGCGGCATTTATCTTCCAAACATGCCACACACCCGCCGACAATCGTATGATTCTCGGCGGGTTTTTGGACATGTTCCTAAGATAAAAGTCGTGCAACCGTAGAGAATGTTCTCTCTCAGGTGCTCCTTTGCTCAGTGTGCGGGTGCAATAACCAGCCTGCTATTGGCCATTGCAATTTGAAATAGCCAAAAGCAGGCCAGATTTGGCTCCCCATTGTTTTTATATTCTGCTGCAGACCGCAAAATCTAGCTGCTGGCTGGCTGCAAGATATACACAAAGAATTTCCCTTAGCAACAAAATAAATTTAGTAGATAACACATTTTTTTTAGTGTCCCCATATCTATCAAGCAACCGCAAAAAAAAAAAAAAAAAAAAAAAGAGAGGACATTTGGTTGCTTGAATGCCAGATAATGGGGAGAATACTGTTTAATCACTTACAATGGATGCAGCTCCTTGATGTTTAACAGTTTTAGCTTCCAGCAGTGTCCCGTGAGTACTGGTCCTGATATCCTGTTTTAGGATGGCTCCTTTCCCTTGCAGGGTCCTATGGAGCCACCCTTGTGTGTGCTATCCAGCTGTGTGTATGTGTATCTCTACAAAGACACAGCAAGGCAAGACACTCCCCGTCCCTCTGCTTTCTGTTCCTCCTTTCTCCAAGCTAATAGATGGAGAGCTGCTCTGCCCTTTGTGATTTTGTATTGGATAGGAAGTTTAGGGAAGCTGAGCTGAGAGAGTTGGAGCTGTTCCAACTCTTTTGCTGGGCAATGTATATTTGATTGTTCTGGATTCATTATTGAAAAAAGTTTAAGAGTTACATATTACCTTTTAACATTGTACATTGGTAAATGTGATCACATGACTGGTAAATACAAGAGAGCAGCAGATATATTTGGCTCCCCTGACCTCTTGGGTTTAAATTGCTCTCTTTTCCTTTCTGGCAGTTTTGCCTCAGAGATATCAATATGACTATCCGGCAGGAAGATAAAGTGGCAGGAAGATAAAGTTGTTCAATGGTCACAGTTATCATACTCTGCTTTCGTGACAGAATTGTATGCTATATTATGCAACTGCCATGGGTGTACCATAGGCCATGCAGCTTTTATTATATCCTGTGCTAGAAGCAGCCAGCCCTACACTGCTGCCAATAACAAAGTATTTTTTATAGCCACCGCTTTTTTTCCCCCGCTTTGAATATAATAGGGAGGGGTTAGAACCCCGATCAAGTCATGTCTTGCTGTCTTTGTCCCGTTGAGGAGATTTTCCTTAATTTTCTGTCCCTGAGACACAACAGTAAAAAAAGATAGGAAATATCACTAAATAAGGGCATTTCCTATCTAACATTGGCCATACACTGTTAGGGCCCATTCACACCTAAAGCATGTACGCACACAGTCGCATGATGCACCTAGCATGTGTTACTGTGTGCTAGGTGCATTGCATTGCCATTCATTTGAATGGCACTCCCATCCACCTTGCACTGTTTTTCACAGGAACACGTGGTACTGCAATACCGTGTATTGCATTGCGCAGCAGAGTAAAAATGTAATGCGTGTACTACTTTTTTTTCCCATTACACTGCAACGCAATGCATGGTTTTGTGGTACTGGGTGTTGCACTGCATTGCAGTGTGCAGAGGCCAGGAGGTGCATTGGGGTACCAGGCAAGTAAATGCTAAAAACTAGGAGGGGCATTTATCAAAACTGGAGCAGACAAAACCTGGAGCAACTGTGCATGGCAACCAATCAGCCTCTCTCTTTCATTTTCAAATCTTAACTGCACAAGCTGATTGGTTGCCATGGGCAACTGCTCAGATTCTGACTGCTCCAGTTTTAATAAATTCCCCACTGAGTGTGTTGTGCAATAGCATGCATTAATTGCATGGTTTTGTGTGGTTGTGTGATCTGGCCCTTAGAATGTCAGTTGATGTAAGGAATTGGTAGCAGTTTTTAAGCTGGCCGTACACTGCTTGAAATTTGAGCAATGTGTGGCCCCATTGGTGCCCTTCTGTTTGAAAAAAATTGATTTTTCAATGGCCTTCCAACAAAGGGTTGGGTTTTAAAGTGTAGCTGCAAAAAAAATGGCCATACACCTATAGATTATCTGCAGATTTTCTATAGTCAGGTGGAAAAAAATAGATTCCTCCATCGACGCTAATCTGTGTGGATGGAGGAATCTCCCACTGGGTAAAGCTTCAGTATCTTGTTAGTAGGCCCTGCTGGCTCTCAAAATAGCTGAACATTGCCTGCATCCAATCAGATTGTTCAGATTTGACAGCCAGCGGGGTCGACTAGCAAGATACTGAAGCTTGGCCCACTGGGCGATTCCTCCATCCACACAGTTTTGTGTAGATGGAGGAATCTGTTTTTTTCCACCTGACCATAGAACATCCTCAGATAATCTATAGGTGTATGTCCTGTTTTACACTGTGTTACCCATCAGGCTCGTCAAAAGTCAATTACTGAATCAACTTTCGTGGAAGGAGCCGTCAGAATACAATAGCCACAGCAGGAGATTCGAATGCTGTTAATGGAGAAATCCATTTCCCTTTGGAGGATTTTGCCTCCCCTCTTGCTCTGGTGACATCTCTAAAATTTCTAATTTCCCAGACGTCCCAAGTCTCACGGACGTTCCGGGAGTCTCCCGCTATTAGATAGCGGCTCCCGGACGCCCGCAAGAGAGACATTTTATCCCGGAAAGGATCTAAACCTTTGCGGGTCTGCTGCGCTCACTAGTTCTGCTGAGTGTAAATAAAGTTTTTAGCTGTAAGGGAAAAAAAAGATCGTGCCTGCAGATCCTGTAACGGTGGCTGGTCAGTGGGAGGGGTTTAGGCACGGCAGGGCGGCCTGTGATTGGCTGGAGACAAAAGTCAGACACCTTGTGATGAGTCCCGAGGGGGAGCCGATAGAAGACGCCTGTGGAGGGTGAGTGGCACACTTCCTAGTCTTGTCATGTACTGTAGTGTTAATAATCACAAATAAAATAAAAACATAATGTAATTAATAATAATAAAATGGTATAATATCTACTATGTTTGAATCCCTGAAATAAGGTTTTGCAGGTTGGGATGTCTGAATTTCCCCTCACTTCCTGTCTCAACAACAATGGTAACCAAGACAAAAGGAAGACACAGACAGCAATAAAACCCTGACAAAGGGTCTAGTCCTTCATGACTATCCCAAACTAAAAATGAAAGTTTTGCCTTTACATACACTTTAAATTGTCGCACCCATACACGCATGCAGTTGCTGACTATCAGTGACACATTGCCATGTAGAACAAAGGGTTCTGGATTGCTGCCGTGCATACCAGTGCAATCCAGCTGGGCTTTCTCTGCTCAGTTTGTATGTGTTTTTCTCAAATGTGTTTTATTTCTGATTTCCTTTGCATGATGTACCATATTGCTGAAGGCACTCGGCATCACTGGACTCACTGGAGCCAGATTGGTGTACAGGTTCAGCAACACCCAACATGCAGGCAAGTGATCTGATGGTGGTTGCATAGTTGTGGCACCTGTGTGGCATTTTTCCCACTGAGCACCAATGTAATGGGGCATTTCTCTGCCACTAACCACTGATATAAGGGGGAACTTCTTTTCTGACCACCAATATGATGGGGTACTTTACCACTGACCACCAGTAACATTGGGCAATTCTTCACTCACCACAAATGTAAAAGGGCACTACACTGACCAGCAATCAGCAGAGGAGCAGACCTAAGAGAGACGTTTCTCTCTCAGGCCTGCTCCTCTGCTGACTGACAGCAGGCAGTGGGTGGGTGCAATAGCCAACCTTCTACTGGCTATTGCAAATTCCAATAGCCAATAGCAGGCTGGCTATTGCACCTGCCCACTGCCTGCTGTTTACATTCAACTGCTGTGTGCGGAATCTAGCCGCCGGCAGATAAATAGGGCTGGGGGGTTTTGGGTCTTGTGGGGCCACAATGGAGGCACTGGATTTGGGGGCACACTGGAACCACTGGAAGGTAGGGGGGGCATACTGAAGGCACAGGATGTGTGGGAGGACACTCAAGGTAGTGGTTGCTGCTGCAGCGGCAGGGCTCTCCTTCACTGTCAGCACTTATTGGTAAATGTAAGACTGATACCGATTATTAAAAAATTTGTGAATATCAGCCATAATAATTGGTAGAGCCAATAATCGATCGACCCCTACCACCAATGTAAGAGAGTTCTTTCAAACTTAAAGTAGTAATAAAGTCAATTTTGTTGGCATATATCTACTGCTAGTAAGCAGTAGATATTGTATATGCCCCAAGATAAAAAAAAAAGTTGGCAAGCACCGCTCGCTCCCGGCAGCAGAAGTCCCGGCTCCCGAATGATGTGAAGAAGGAAGTGTGGGCGGGTGCATGCGCGGAGAGGAGGAGAGCAAGGCTGAAGCTGGATGAATGCAGCCGGGAGTGTGCACGTCGGTCAGACTCCGTGGCACAGGAAGAAAGAGGAGTCTGCGGTGGATCAGAGACCAGCACCAGCGCAAAAATTATTAAATTGGACCTTTACACTTGAAAATCATATTCTACCAATGCATTCCAATATGTATGATGATTAATA